TGCTGTACCTGCCATTCTGAACTTTGTCATTAGTTGTGTCAATGAAGATATTTCCTTCTTTCTCACACGGATTCTTACAAAGGAACTTCCTCTGTGCCTGGACAGCAGTGGGACATGGAAATGAGATTTCTTCTCCCTCACTCTGTGCACGGGAGAATCCAGAGTTTTTAGCAATTTCTGTTAAATAGATGAACATCCATGAATTATATAATAAATAAAGTGACTGAGTTTAAATAGGACTGTATTTAGCCTGAGAGCTTATGGAGGTATGAGAGTAGGTGATTGGTTTCCCAATTTTGACTTTAGTAACTTTTAGTAGAAACTCACCATTTGAAACTCTGACCTCAAAGTCTGAGTATGAATCTGGAGCTGAAGATTTACCCAAACCAAACCGGTACATTCCTGAGTCAGACTTTCTCATATTTGTGATGGTAAAGCTCAGCCTTCCTCTTCCTGAAGCTGCATCTTTGTATTCAATGCTGAATCTGCCGCTCTGAGCTGTGGTTTCATCTGTTTTAATGAGGATGTTTTCTGCTCGCTCACATTTTTCCTTGCAGAAGAACTTTGTGTTTCCAGACACAGTCAAAAAACTATAAAGTGAAAGATCCCCTCCTTCACGTACAACCCAAATGCTGGCAGACCCAGCTGGACCTGTTGGACAAGATTTTCACTGTGAATAAATAAATAACTTAATCCAACTTAACTGGCAGATACTCATGGATACAAACACTGCAGGCTCTAAACAAATGAGGCACAGAGCAAGAGGGAGATCAAAACAACAGACAGAGTGAGAGAGCCAATATACAGGAGAGAATCAGGACAGAGAGTCTTACATTTGGGTCCTAACCTACCTGCCTGCCACATCTGGGGAACACAGCTGAATAAAATCTAACTGACGAGACTTTGGAAGCAAAATTGAACACAATGTACACGGGACAAGAGACTGTCAAAATAAATTAGGAAGTATGAGAAACACAATGAGAGTCTGACTAAAAACAGAGAGAGAGAGAGAGAGAAAGAGAGACAGAGGGAAATATGACTGAGGAAACTAAGAAACATGGAGAAAAGACTGACTTCACAAATAACTAACACAGGAAACTAGAAAGAGGACGGGGAACACAGGGGGAGGAATGAAAACAGAAACCTCAAAACTTGACAATAAAAATAAGAATACCAATATTAAACAGAGAGATCACAACTATAATAACTAGAAAGAAAAAAAAGAGAGAGAAAGGAAAACAAATAAATAAATAATACATTTTTATAATAAAAAAAATGTTAAAAGATTCAGCTCCTTTTCTAAAGGATGTTCCAACTTTTTTTTAAAAATGTGTTGCAAGAACCATTGGAATACTGTTTTCATTTTCATTTTCATCAGATACCGTCCTAACTCTTTTGATTTGGGGTTGTATGTAAAAATATTCTTTTTTTTTCTTTGTGGTTGTATTAATATTTTTCATGTATCACTTCTGTTTGACATTACAATAAATACTGTAAAGTAGACTTGCCTGTTAAACTGAGAAGGACAAGAAGTCCACAGGTTGCAGCAATTAAACTTACAGCTGTTCCTCTCATCTCTCCAAGTCCATAAAACATAACTGCTGGTTGCTAATGTGTATTTGAAGTAAATGAGTCCCAGCAACACCTTTAAATACAATCCACAATGCAGCTGTCGTCAAAGACCTGTCAAACGTGGCTTTTTCCTGAGGTCTGTAAGTAAAAGCAGAAACTGTTAAAATACACCTGACTGTACCCTCTGTATATGTGATTAATCTGAAAGAGCTTAAAGTTCAGTACCGTGTTTAAGAAGAAGCAAAGTCAAGTCTGAGGAGCAAAATAAGGAACATGTTTACAATCCTGCTCTAACTCTCTCATGAGGAATGGAGAGATGAAATGGTTTTTAAGTAATGTAGTTAAGTCCTCGTTTGATGAGTCAGCCAAGAATCCAGTGGGAACCAGGCCTTGAGGACAAACCGCATATGCCCATCCAAGCTGACTCAGCTTGGATGGGCATATGCGGTTTGTCCTCTTAGTTAGCATCTGTTTCTTCTTCAAACTGCAGCCAGATGCTGCTTTGTTTACGAGTGTCTATGATATTTATGTGTTTTTGCGATGCACTCGCACTCTCCTCCTCACTGCTGTCTACCGTCTCACTCACTCACTCACTAGTGATGTGTCTCCCCTCCAGACCACAATTATCAGGTTACAAACACCAGGCATCCCCTGGGGAATTTCCACTCAGCTATAACTTCTCTTTGTCTTACCTTTTCAGCTCAAGGTGGGGGAATGTCTCCTACAAGTTTACTCCTAATTTTATGACACGTTCAGGCCTTTATTACATCCAGGGCAGTGTCAGTGTCTCTACACCTTTCTACATTCTATCTCACACATTTCTAACTCCTAAAATAAGCTACAAATATCTTTAAAACCCCGAACCACGTACAAACTACAAAAGACGTAAAAACTCCGAAGCACGTACAAAACACAACAGAAGTGCTCCAGGATGCTAAGCACAGTGTTAAGCTCTTGTTACCTAGTGGCTACACAAGCCAGGACGTACCAACGACCGGATTTGGTGTGTGGAAGTCAGTGATGGGAATAACAGGAGTAACGGCATTGAGTTTAGCGTGTTTGGAGTGTGTAGTTGTGTGAATGCCTCACAGGCATGGAAAATGAATGGAAAACTTCCAAAATTCTGCTAAAACTTGCTTGATTTTGAAACTTAACTACATCCTTATACTTTCACGTAGAAACTCCATTCAAACTTTAAAACGTTCTCAGATTATTGGGCTATTCATGTATGATTCAGCTTTTTCATATCTGTTATAATTTAATTAAAAATCTGTTTTAATTTAATGCCTCTTTAAGTTTTCAGTTGCAGCTTTGTGATTTTTCAGAAAATACATGCGTTGTTATGGTTGCTGTGCAATTAACTCAGAGTGGACACTTGAGCTTTTTGAATCTTCTCTTCATGTCTGAACAACTTCTTACTACTCGCTCAATTTCCACTCAACCCCCACAAATTATACATCAAAACGTAGGTATATTTGCTGGCTTTCAGAAAATGTCAACACAAAGTCTGAAAACTCTCCATAGACAGTCAATGGAGAGTTTGTTCAAAATCACCGCTGGATTTCTCTAATGAGACACATTTTCAAATCGTCATATCTCCTTAACAAAGCAAAGTTGAGACACGAGGCTTGTGCCAATATATCTTCAGACACTCCTGACGCTCACAATTCAAGAATTTTTTTCTCACCTGTTACCGTTTGGTCATGAATTACATTGTTTTGAGGGTAGGAAATTTGTTCCTCGCTCAGATTTCTTCAGATTTCAAACTCTGTAAATGAGGCACTTTTTTCTCTCGTCATATCTTTTTGATGGATTTCAACAGAGCCCTGAAAATTTCCATGACTGTTCACCAACCCCTGCTGTTTCTTACGGTGAAAGAATGATTTTGATGCTCCATATAGATTTAGATTTACAAAATGTTGTTTGAGGGCAAGTCAAGGCAGTTTTTTGTTTCGCCTCTACTCAGTTACAGTGTAGTACAAGTCTTATATCTTTAATAATTTATACTTTAATTATGAATTATGAACACCTGAAGATTCCCCCATCTCTTCTGAACAAAACGGTGTCAGAATGACCGTTCTAGCCCCTACGGTTAGGAAATTATGGCCATTTGTTCGAGGGGAATCCTGAATGTCAGAAATACACTGAAGAAAACTCATACCTCTCTCTGTGTCTG